GCTGTCACAGCTCACTGCAGCCTCAACCTCCCAGACTGTTAGAGGATGCTAACAGTCAGAGCCAAGGGAACCAGTGGACTATGTGAATTTCCCATTCTTTTTCCAGAGCTGATTTGGGGCTGTTGTGCAGTGGTATAATTGTACTGGTATTTGTGCCAGTGTTTATTCTGACTGGCCAGTACTGTTATACTGAGAGTTTATGCCTAGTGTCAGTTCTAATGGATCTGTACAATTATACTGGGTAAATACTAGGTAATGCCTGGTGTGGGTTCTCATTAGTCAGTGCCTGTCATAAATCAAATGTCAAATACTTTGTCACTCCTCTCCTCATTCAGAATTTTAAAGTATTTCCAATGATGTATTTTTTTTTTAATGTTTATATTCCAGCCTGGGCAACGTAGCAAAACGTTATCTCAATAAGAAATAGAAAATTTAGCCAGGCATGATGGCGTGTACCTGTGGTCCAGCTACTTGGGAGGCTAAGGTAGGAAGATCACCTGACCCCAGGGAGGTCAAGGCTACAGTGGCATGATCGTGCTTCTGTACTCCAGCCTGGGTGACAGAGTGAGACCCATCTCAAAAAAGAAAAGTTTCTATGGTTATATACACAATATATGTACATTGTAAAAACCAGTAAATTCATAAATAATAAATGGAAAAAACCTCAGTGCACTAATGCTCAGGGACAACAGTTTTGGTGTATGTTTGTAATACTTCTTTCCATTCCTTTTCTTTTCATATCACTATCAGAAATGGGATCTCTTTTGTATCACTGGCGCTTATGTTACCACGTTTCCTCTAAAATGAGTTGACCAGTGTTTCCTGGAAAACACCAGATAGTAACTATTTTAGGCTTTGCAGGCTGTATGGTCTCTATCCCAACTACTCAATGTGCTATTTCTTTTTTTTTTTTTTGAGACGGAGTTTCGCTCTTGTTACCCAGGCTGGAGTGCAATGGCGCGATCTCGGCTCACTGCAGCCTCCGCCTCCTGGGTTCAGGCAATTCTCCTGCCTCAGCCTCCTGAGTAGCTGGGATTACAGGCACGCGCCACCATGCCCAGCTAATTTTTTGTATTTTTAGTAGAGACAGGGTTTCTCCATGTTGACCGAGATGGTCTCGATCTCTTGACCTGGTGATCCACCCGCCTCGGCCTCCCAAAGTGCTGGAATTACAGGCTTGAGCCACCGTGCCCAGCCTCAATGTGCTATTTCGTGTAGAGGCAGCCGTAAACAGTATATAAACAAATGAGTGTGGTTGTGTTCTGGTAAAATTTTATTTATAGGCACTGAGATTTGAATTTCATATAATTGTCACAAAATATTATTCTTGTTTTGATTTTTTAAAACTATTTAAGAATGCCAAAGCCTTCTTGGCTTGTGTGCTCTTTGTGGCAGGCTAGATTTGGCTCTGGTACTACCATAATGTGCTGACATTGTCAATTCTATGACATTGTCACTAATGACCGCATTGCATTCTGTAATATAGATAGACCCTGGAGCTTACTTAGCCATTCTCTTCTTTAGATTGTTTCTAATTTTTCACTGCTACAAACAACAATAAAACAAACAACTTTGAAATAAACAAGTGTCCACTTTTGAAAGTTTTCCTTAGGAATAATTCTTAGAATTGTTGTAGCAATGGGAAGGGATTAACTCAAAAAAATTAAAAAGGGCTGGGCGCGGTTGCTCATGCCTGTAGTCCTCGTACTTTGGGAGGCCAAGGCGGGCAGATTGCCTGAGCTCAGGAGTTTGAGACCAGCCTGGGAAACATGGTGAAACCCTGTCTCTGCTAAAAATACAACAAAGTAGCTGGGCATAGTGGTGTGCACCTATAATCCCAGCTACTTGAGAGGCTGAGGCACAAGACTTGCTTGAACCTGGGAGGCAGAGAGTGCAGCGAGCTGAGATCATGCCATTGCACTCCAGCTTGGGCAACAGAGTGAGACTCTGTCTCAAAAAAAAAAAAAAAAGAAGAAGAAGAAGATACACAGATGGCAAACAAGCATATGACAAGATGTTCACTGTTACATGGGATTAGAGCATTGTAACTTAAGATAGCAATGAGATACCACTACATACCTATTTGGATGGCTAAAATCTAGAACCCTGACAACACCAGATGCTGGTGAGGATGTGGAGCAACAGGAACTCTCATCCATTGCTGATGAGAATGCCAAATCATGCAGTGACTTTGGAAGATGGTTTGGCAGTTTCTTAGAAAGCTCAATATAGGCTTACCATACAATCCAGGAATTGAATGCCTTAGTATTTACCCAAATGAGTTGAAAACTTATGTCCACATGAAAACCTGTACACAGATGTTTATAGCAGCTATATTCACAATTTCACAAAACTGGAAGCAACCAAGATGTCCTTCAGTAGGTGAATGGATAAATAAACTGTGATACATTCATACCGTAGAATACAGTATTATTAAATGATTTTAAAAATGAGCTCTCGAGCCACAAAAAGACATGTAGGAGACCTAAATGCATATTGCTAAATGAAAGAAACCGGTCTGAAAAGGGAAGGTACTGTGTGATTCTAAGTATATCACATTCTGGAAAGATAACTTGAAGAGATTATAAAAAGATCAAAAATTACGAAGAGTTCAGGTGAGAGAGGGTGGGAATGTTGAATAGTGGGAGCAGAGAGGATTTTTAGGGTAGTGACACTATTCTGTATGATACTGCAATGATAGATACATGATGTGCATTTGCCAAAATCCATAGAAAGAGTATACAACAGAAAGAATTAACACTAATGTAAATGTGGACTTTGGTTACTAATAGTGTATTGATATTGACCTATGAATTGTAAGAAATATACCACATGAATGCAAGATGTTAATAATGGGGAAACTGTAGGGTAGGGGGAAGAGAGATAGTATCTGGAAAATCTGTTTTCTGCTCAATTTTTCTTTGTTTTCATTTTTCTTGTTTTTAATTTTTTTTTTTTGAGAGGGAATCTTTGTTGCCCAGGCTGGAGTGCAGTGGCACAATATTGGCTCACTGCAACCTCCACCTTCCGAGTTGATGTGATTCTTTTGCCTCAGCCTCCTGAGTAGCTGGGACTACAGGTGTACACCACCATGCCTGGCTAATTTTTGTATTTTTAGTAGGGACAGGGTTTCACCATGTTGGCCAGGGTGGTCTCAAACTCCTGACCTCAAGAAATCCACCCACCTTGGCGTCTCAAAGTGCTGGGATTACAGGCGTGAGCCACCACTCCCGGCCTTGTTTTTATTTTTATTTTTAAGAGGCAGGGTCTTGCTATGTTGCCGTGGCTGGTCTGAAATTCCTGGGCGTAAGCAGTCCTCCTGCCTTGGCCTCCCAAAGTGTTAGGATAACAGGCATGAGCCACCAACACCTGGCTGACTTTTCTGTAAACATCGAACTGCTCTAAAATCTGAAAGTGTATTTTTAAAATTTTGTTATAAAATTAATATATGCCAAGAAAGTAATATATACTCACTGTAAAAATTCTAAAGAATATGGAAATGTAGCCTGAGGAAATGAAACCACCACCAGCAGCTGTAGAGGTGCCCACTTTTAATAATTTGGTGCATATTCATCTAGATTTTTCTCTACATATAAAATATATATGCATATATATGAGGGGTTTTTTTGTTTTTGTGTGTGTGTGTGAGTCAAGTCTCTGTCCCCTAGACTAGAGTGCAACGGCGCCATCTCAGCTCACTGCAACCACTGCATCTGCCTCCTGGTTCAAGTGATTTTCCTGCCTCAGCCTCCTGAGTAGCTGGGATTATAGGCGCCTGTCACCATGCCCAGCTGACTTTTGCGTTTTTAGTAGAGATGGGGTTTCATCATATCGGCCAGGCTGGTCTTCAACTCCTGACCTCAAGTGATCCAACCACCTGGGCCTCCCAAAGTGCTGAGATTACAGATGTGAGCCACCACGCCTGGCTTCATGCATATATTTTTTCCTGTAAGACGTAGTGAAGAATTTTTTTAAAAAAAGAACCATATTATAATTTTTTTGCACTTTGCTTTACCCAAAACCCAACTACATGTTATAAACATTTTCCATGTCAGTACATATCTACATAAGAGAATATGATGTAGTCATTAGTGACAATGCTATAGGACTGAGGTCAGCAAACTATGGGAGCCAAATCCAGCCTGCCACAACTAACACAAAGGACATCTACTTTACTCTAACTGTACCTAATTCTATTTTTATATTTTAATTGAATTATTATGATTATTATTTGAAACACAGTCTTCCTCTGTCACTCAGCCTGGAGTGCAGTGGTGCAATCTTGGCTCACTGCAACTTCCACCTCCCAGGTTCAAGCAATTCTCATGTCTCAGCCTCCTGAGTAGCTGGGACTACAGGCATGTGCCACCACACCTGCCTAATTTTTGTATTTTTTAGTAGAGATGGGGTTTTGCTATGTTGGCAAGTCTGGTCTCGAACTTCTGGGCCTGAAGAGATCCACCCACCTCAGCTTCCCAAAGTGCTGGGATTGCAGGGATGAGCCACCATGCCTGGTCCCTCTAACTGTACATTATTCTATTAGATAGTTCTATCGTAATTAATTGTCCCAATCCCTTATCATTGGACATTTTGATTGTTCCCAAGTTTGCTGGGTTTTTTTTCTCCTTCCAAGCTGCTAAGTTCTCAGGTTTTGTTATTACAAACTAGGTTGTGGTGACTGTCCTCGTACGTCTGTCCTTTGGAGTGCATTTTTACCAGTTTCCAGGTTGCCCCTTTGGAAGTTTGTTCAAATCTATACTCCCCTCTGCAGTTTCTCAACACTGTTGCCAACTGTGAATGTTATTTTTTAAAATCCTAGCAATTTTAATAGGAGAAAATGCTCTTTCATTCAGTGAACATTCATAGTGGTGATGAAGTTAAGACTTTCTATGTAAGTAAGTTGCCTGAATAATTTCCATTTGGCCCTCCAGAAGCTTTCCAGGTGTTTTCCATATTTCCTGGGGCCTAATCACCCTTCCCTTGCTGTCCATGTTTTTCAGTTACGACAGTGGCCTGACTCATATACAAAGAAGTTTGAGCACAGAATCTACTCCATCACATTTTCTGTTGGAAACCCTCAGGAGTGGAAGAAATTGTTCAAACCCTGTGCTGCCCAGAGACTCTTTCTTCCGGTAGGAACACCTGTTTTTAATAAGATGTAGCTTGCTTTTGGAAATAAGGTGAAATTAGCTGAGATATGTGTAGAAACATTTAACTTAACAGCTGAAAATGTATGTCTCTTGGATTCTGGAGCTGATGCTGTAAGTCTGCAGCATGTAGACAGGATCCCTGTGTTCTGGAGGTTGTCATAATCAAAGATTGATGGACTGTGAGCATTCAAATCCTGTCTTGGATCATTAGTCATCATTTACTGGTTCCGTGAACCTCATTAAATCCCCCAACTTTACTAACTTCAGTTTTATCCATAGCCTTGGCACATAGCTAGCCCTCAATAAATATTAGCTTTGATTGTTATTTTTCTTAGAACAGTCTTTATAAGAGGTTGTGGCTGCCGTGAATCATGATCATACCACCACACTCCAGCCGACATGACAGAATGAGACCTTGTCTCAAAAAGTAAATAAATAAATAAAATAAGTAAGTTATTTCTCTTATTACTCTTGTTTCTCTTACTAGTTATAGCCATGCTAGGATATCATTCCAAAAAGGTCCAGAATTTTGGTTTAGTATTTTAGCTTAATGAATTTTTAAATTGCATGGTTTTTTTTTTTTCTTTTTTTAAAATATTGAGGCCAGGCAAGGTGGCTCACACCTGTAATGCCAGTACTTTGGGAGGCCAAGGCAGGCGGATCACTTGAGCACAGGTGTTTGAGACCAGCCTGGGCAACATGGCAAAATCCCATCTCTACAAAAAAATACAAAAATTAGGCAGGGTGCGGTGGCTCATGCCTGTAATCCCAGCATTCTGGGAGGCTGAGGTGGTGGATCATCTGAAGTCAGGAATTCGAGACCAGCCTAGCCAACATGGTGAAACTCCATCTCTACTGAAAATACAAAAATTAGCCAGGCATGATTGTGCATGCCTATAATTCCAGATACTGGGGAGGCTGAGGCAGGAGAATCGCTTGAACCCAGGATGCAGAGTTTGCAGTGAGCTGAGATCATGCCACTGTACTCAGCCTGGGCAACAAGAGCAAAACTCCACCTCACAAAAAAAAAAAAATGTAGTTGGGCATGGCGGCTTATGCCTGTAGTCCCAGCTACTTGAGAGGCTGAAGTGGGAGGATCATTTGAGCCCAAGAGGTTGAGGCTGCAGTGAGCCATGATCGCACCACCACACTCCAGCCTGTGTGACAGAGTGAGACCCTGTTTCAAAAAAGTAAATAAATAATTAAAATTTTAAAAATCAAATAATAATAAAAATAAAATCTTAAATAGAAAAAAGATATATCGAAAGTGAGAATAATATTGCACAGGGATGGCAACTTTTAGTTGTCAATTGCTGCCTTAATTTTTGTGAGGGATTCATGGCTTCAGTAGACATTTGTTGAGTGCCCATTAGGGTGCTGGGCCCTGGCTCAGCAATGGTGACATGGTAATAAGACAGCCATGGTCCTATTCCCTTGAAGCTTGAGTCTAGTAGGGCCTTGAGCAAGTAATTAGAAGTATGACCAGTACTAAGAGGAGACAGTCTCATGGCTGTATATAACATGGGGTTCCACCCTGGTCTGAGAGAGATTATAGAAGATTCTCTTGGGCCGGGCACGGTGGCTCAAGCCTGTAATCCCAGCACTTTGGGAGGCCGAGGCGGGTGGATCACGAGGTCAAGAGATCGAGACCATCCTGGTCAACATGGTGAAATCCCGTCTCTACTAAAAATACAAAAAATTAGCTGGGCATGGTGGCATGTGCCTGTAATCCCAGCTACTCAGGAGGCTGAGGCAGGAGAATTGCCTGAACCCGGGAGGCGGAGGTTGCAGTGAGCCGAGATCGCGCCATTGCACTCCAACCTGGGTAACAAGAGCGAAACTCCATCTCAAAAAAAAAAAAAAAAAAAGAAGGTTCTCTTGAGGCAGGGCAGTGGCATATTATTTTGTAGAGATGGGGTCTTGCCATATTGCTCAGGCTGATTTTGAACTCCTGCGCTTAAGTGATCCTCTCCCCTTGGTGTCCCAAAGTAGTAGAAATACAAGCATGAGCCACCATGCCTGCCCAACAGTGGCATTCATGCAGAGACATGAATAAAGGAGAAGTAAGGGTTACTAGGTGACAAGGTCCTGGGAGATCATCAGAGAAAAGAGGGTTCCAGGCAGATGGATCAGTAGATACAAAGGCCCTAAGGTGGGAAGGGCCATGTTTAAGAAAATAAAAGAAAGTCACAGTTACCAAAAAATAAATAGAGGAGAGTAGAGCAATCAGCAGAGATTGGAGCTTGCAAGCTCTATAAGCCATCTAGAAGTGTCTGGTCTTTGTCTTTTTTTTTTTTTTTTTAAAGAAACAAGGTCACTCTCTGTTGCCCATGCTGGAGTGCAGTGGTGCATTCCCAGTTCCGGGCTTAGGTGATCCTCCCACCTGAACCTCACAAGTAGCTGGGACTACAGGTATGAGCCACCATACCTAGCTAATTTTTTTTTATTTTTCGTAGAGATGATGTCTTGCTATGTTCCCAGCCTGGTCACATACTCCTGGGCTCAAGCCGGCCTCCCATCTTGACCTCCCACAGTGCTGGAATTACGGATGTGAGCCATACCACCCAACTGCGTCTTTTTCTTAAGGGTAGTGGGAAGCCATTGGATGACTTTCTTACATGCAAGTGGCATGTTCTAATTTGTGTTTTTTTTTTTTTTTTTTTTTTTTTTTGAGACGGAGTTTCGCTCTTGTTGCCCAGGCTGGAGTGCAATGGCACGATCTTGGCTCACCGCAACCTCCTCCTCCTGGGTTCAGGCAATTCTCCTGCCTCAGCCTCCTGAGTAGCTGGGATTACAAGCACACGCCACCATGCCCCACTAATTTTTTGTATTTTGAGTAGAGAAGGGGTTTCACCATGTTGACCAGGATGGTCTCGATCTCTTGACCTCGTGATCCACCCGCCTCGGCCTCCCAAAGTGTTGAGATTACAGGCTTGAGCCACCGCGCCCAGCGTTCTAACTTGTGTTTTAAAGAAGACACTGGTTTATGGCAGCATGGACGGGGTTGGTGAGGCCATTTCACCAACTTGCCGTGGCTTTGGTGGTTGCCTTAGGGATAGATAATGGACCTGCCTGAGACAGAATTTACCAGCCTTCATGATTGGCTTGTTGTAGTAGTTGAAGGGAGAGTGACGTGAAAAGGATTTTACCAGGTTTTTTTTGTTTTGTTTTGTTTTTTTACCCGAACAACTGCTAAGGTTGATCCATTTGAAACTGCCAATACTCAACCACATTAATGACCTACAAAAAAGGTAATTTCTTATAACTCAACCTAAGAAATAAATGGCAGGATCATTTAGGGATGGAAAAGACAGGGAAAAGCAGTTTTGGTAAAGAGGCCAAATGAGTTTAATTTGGGTCAGTTTTTGATTTTGAGGTGCCTGAGGATATTAAAGCAGAAGTAATCTTCACATTTGTTGGTCTGGAAACCCTAACTGGGGAGTAGCATTTCCTACGCAGAGACCTTAGAGCAGAAAAAACCCTGGATGAATTGTTGGCAGCGATCAGCTGCACAAGCTCACTTGCGCATTACATCATCTGTTTTTCACATGTCACAGACCTTTATACCTATGCTGAGACAGGATTAATCACAAAAAACTGGGGTAGGAAAGACTCCCTTGAATTGACAGGAAAATATCTAAGTTGGTGATGTAAAAACTAGTTACTATTTGAAGTGAGAGAAAATGTTAGGTTTCTGTTTCTTGTCTCCATTTTTTGCAAAACGTTTAAGTGTTAGAAAACTAAAGGTAATGTTGGGAAATCCTCTTCCCATTCTATCTAAACTATTAGCAACCCAATGGAACTACATTTGAATTTTTGTTGACCTTGAATTGTGACTTTATTACCATTATTAAGAAAACAAATTCATCACCTAATGGCTTTAATTCTTTCCCAGCTAAGTAAGTGCTTGGTTTCAAATAACAAATGGGTGCTGGCATTCCTTATCTGCTTCTGATAATGGAAACTAGCCCTCCTTAAAAATAATAGAGAGATTGTGGTTAACAGGACATTTACCTTTTCCCAGTTGTATGTCATAGCAGCAGATTATGAACATGGCATTTTTGTGCATCGGTGAGATGTATGGATCTTGAGGGTAATTTTAAATAAAGTCTAGATCATGTATTCCTTGGAATTCCTCTGTATGAAACCATATCAGCGGTGCTGCCTCAATAGCACAGAGGAAATGGAGATCCTAAAGTCCACACATTCTAGCAGGTAGGCAGCTGACTGAGGACCGTGGTCCCACCCATTTTCCGAGAGGCTGTCATCTACCCAAAACTGCAGAAGAGACCCTTTCTCAACTAAGATTTTACTGTCTGAATAATATCAGAGCGGAAGTCTTTGCAACCTTAGCCTATTAGAGTCTTAAGTACAATTAGTTTGATTCAGAGCCCACCAATTCTAAATGTATGAACTCCTAGAAATCAGTGGACCTGTACTCCTCCACTTTGTGAATGATGGTCCTGTGGAGTGGGACCATTATTAATGCAAACTAAACTGCACATGGTTTGATTAAGCATTCTAAAATGCATATTTCTTTCAGGTAATTCAGAAGCTGAAGGTATTTAAAACAATATGCCAATTACAAGTAAATCGAATTTGTTCATTAAAATTGATCCTGGAATACTTAGCTCTTTTTTCTTAGTAAAGGCCAGAGAGCCTTTACATCAGTAAGAGTAATTGAGTTGTATGAATTCACATTAACTTTCCCCCAGTTAATTGGAAGTAGTGAGATTTTATCATAGATCTGTACATTTTGCTACACGCTGTGCCTGTTTAATTATGAAGACTTCTCGCCTCCATAACTGTGGTCCTATGGGAATCCTAGAGATATGTAAAACATGACAGAGATCACTGGATTGCAGAACCAGTGGATTGCAGAATCACTGGATTGCAGAGGCATTATCAGTAAGTGGTACCCAATACGGTAATTTGACATAGGGCAAGGTTCTATTCATACCTTACCCAGGGAGAAATGTTTT